ATGCAGAGGGCTGCTGTTTTCCCAACAAACGTTACCTGGAGGATACGGGGAAGTCGGGGGGGATCCTGCCCCTGGCTGAAATCCAGCGCTGCCGGAAGTTTTCACCCAAGCTGCTGCCCGTTTCCCGGCGCAGAGCCCCGCCGGGATGCCTTCCCGAGGTGTCAGGCTGTGGTTTTAAATCCTCAAAAGCTCAAGCTGTAGAAGCGCAGCGAGAAGGGACTGAAGCCATTCAGCAGGTTCATTCTGGGATGTGCTGATTAAAAGCAGCGAGCTCGCAGGCAGCATCTGCAGAGCCACGGTGCCCCGGGCTCGGGATTCCCCGGTGCCCACCCACCCAGCGCGGGAATTTGCCCAACAAACCCTAGCAGGGATTTTCTTTCGGAAGAGAAGAAGGTATTCAGCCATCTGACCAAGTCGAAACATGCCGCATATCCCTCACAAGCAGTTTTTAATGCTCCTTGCCCTCAAACCCAGTGCTACCCCAGGGTGTTTTCAGTCCTCACTCAGTGCAGGGTCTGTGCCGGTAAGGGCTCTGACCACGACCATCACTCTGGGGCCAAAACCTCTACCAAACGTGCCTGCTAATACCGACGGAGCCCGACTTTACAGCTACTTAGGGAGGCAGAAAGAACTTGCTAGCACAGAGCAGTAACTCCAGATTTCCACCTGCAGGTTTCCAAGACCTCCTTCAACTCTGTCATGACCTGATTTCCAGCCCTTTGAAAACACGAAGGACGCCAACCCCTTTTTTAGTGATTAGGAGGTCTCTGATTTCATTCCAGGTCATGGCATTTATATTTTCATTGCCCACAACCTCGAGGGTCACCACAAATACGACAGCGCTTAACGGCTGTTTAATTCAACAGCATTTCCGAGTTAATAAATGCAATTCAATTTCCCAAAGCCACGAGGCTCCTGACCGGATAACACAGCCGGCATCCAGCCCACCAAACCCGTACACCACCGGTTTCTATAGAAATAGAGCTGGCACGTATGGGAGCAGTACATGAAATTACATGGTGGAAGGAATTTCTCTTTCACTACTCACATGCTTTTCTTTTAAAGTATAGGAAGCCTCAAGTCCTCTCCATCTCAGAGATGCTCTGAAGGGGAGGAGGAGCATTTTGCTTTATTGTCAGGGATTTATATGACACGCTCTAAATATTTTTTTCCCAGAGACACGGTAGCCTTCTTGCTTCTTTAAAGCAAGACTTGAATATTTTTCTAAAAGAGGTGCTCAAGCTCAAATCACACGCAGGCATTACCGAGTGTGCTTTGGGGTGAGGGAAGGCACAAATGACCCTAACGCACCGCAACATTTTGTGGTAGCAGTGCAGCTGCCTGTCTCGCAAAGCTGCTCCTGATGACAGGCAGTGGTTTCCCTTTCTTGTTACTTTTAGTGTTAACCTTTCCTTATTACTATTATTTTTGAGTCCAGGAAATTCAAGTGATGAGCTGACTACAGCCTGCAAAGCACGGATTGATGATATTGAGGTGTAAGGTACAATGGTTCGAGGATGGCACCCAGGCACGTACAGAAAACCCACAGCATCGCCTCTCACTGCTGCCTCCTTCCCCGGAGGCATCTTGGACCAAAGTCCAGGGATCAAAGTTGTGATGTTTACACGTAAAGTCAAGACAATTTAAACCACTCCGAAGCACTGCAAAGGTTTTAAGTTGATACCTTTTCTCCCGACCCCTGGGATCCCAACAGCTGAACAGAGGACACAAAAGCACTTGTAATTTTGTATTTTCCAGGAGAGATCGCAAATAGTGCCAATAACTGTTTGGGTTTTTAAGAAAGCATCACTTTCTGTAGAATGCGCAGACACAGTGCTGTGCAGCATAGTCAGAAGACGCAAGGGCACCAATAGGATATGAACGTTTTCCTGGCCTGATTTGCAATTCCCTCTTTATCGCTTTCAACAACACAGCTATCCGACCCTGAAAGAAACGACAGCAGCACCGCACCGCGCTGCCTGCCAGCGGGAACGGGCGCCAGGAGCGCCGGCGAGCCCGGGGGATGGCCGGGGGGACGGCCACCCGCCAGCACGGGCACGAGAGGCAGCCAGCACCCCCGGGCACACGGCGCGATGCTCCCGGCACAGCCGGCGGTGCCGACACCCCCCCCCCCCCCCCCCCGTCTCTCCGCAAACCCATCCCGGGGTTTCGCAGAAAGAACAGGGGTTTCCTGGTAACTCTCAGCTGCGCGACCTTGAGCTGCCTTCCAGGCTCATTCAACCATGGTCACCAGCAGTAACGAGTCTCCTTGTGAATTCCAGCCCACGGGTAACCCCTTAAACACTGAAATAAAGCTGCAAGAGCAGAGCGCGGGGCTGATCGTCACCGCTCCCGGTATGCGTGAGCAAGAGCCTGGCTCACTCCCTCCTCTCTGAGCAGCCTCTGCAGAGAACTGCAGCCAAAACCCAGAAAAAGCCTGATTTTACCTCGGTTACCTTGGGATACATATGGATCTCAGGCCTGCTGAAGGAGACCAGGGTTATTTTTAGGCAGTTGCCACCCTGATCATCACTGCTTTTTAAGGACTCTGCAGCCAGTTGCAAAGTTACTTAAAAGCTTGAGCTTTACGAGAAGGGCTTGAGCCCAACAGAGCTTTTTCTGCACGGGAGGAAAGCCCGGCTGACCCCACCGGGGTGTGAGCCCCGGCTGCAGCACAGCCGGGGGGTTAGGGTGGCAGGGAGGGGGGCTGTGTCCTCCTCTCGTGGCCCGGACCGCACGCAGACTCGGGAGGCAACAGCTCTGAGGTGCCAGGGACAAGCTCTGCCGTCGGGCAGCACGGCTCTCGCGGCTCCAGAAGTTGCTGCACTCTGACTTGATGCAGAAACGACCAACTCAAGGGAAGCACAACACAGGAGTATCAGCCCGTTGTTCCCCTTGTCTTATTCTGGATGCCATCCGGGTTATCTCAAGTGGCATCTGTTTCTTCTGAAACAGGGAGGCGGCCTCCCCAGCCCACTTCTCCATCCTGCTGTGGGCCGCAGCGGCAGCCGAACGCAGCGAGGAGGAGCCGGGGCAGGACCAGGCTTGGCCTGAAGGGCCCTCAGCTCGCAGTGAGCTGCCTACAGGGGCAGATGCATCTCCAGAAATACAAAACATAAGCCCGACCCTCGTCGTTCGGAAAGCTCTCGACAGTTTGCAAGGGAAGGTGCTTTAGCTCTCCCAGAGCGTGGCCCAAGGCAGCGGCAGGGCTCACGAGCCGGCAGTGAAAATGCCAACACACAGCCCGAAAACTTTCTCTGACACCTCAGCGCTCATGTTAGCAACATCCTGGCACATCCGTCAGCAGAGCTTTTTCCCCCTCCCTTTAATATTTCCCTTTTTCAAAAATTTTAACTTTGAAACATCTGCTCCCCCAAAAGCACCAGCAACCTCAAAATTCATGACTCCACGGCTTTCTCAGTTGCCACTCACAAACTGAGCGCAGCCCCGTCTGCCTGTGGGGCCGTAAAGCAGAAAGACACAAGCAGGTATTTTTGTTGCTGTTTTTTTCTTTTAAATAGTGCAGGACATGCTCCAAAAAATACTAAAATCGCATGAGGAGGGTGCAGCAAAAGACAAATGCATCCACCACTCGACACCACAATGAGCTGTCATCGGTTATCTGGCTTGCACAGAGGCAGACATCCTGCTGTGACCGAGCCTCCTGGGGATGGAAAAGAGCAGCCTGGAGTATCCCCAACTCCTGCTCTCTTCACTTTCGAAAGGTACAGTGCCCAAACCGAAAGAAGGAAGGGGCAGAAAAAGGGAAAAGGGCCTGGGAAAACAGAGCAGAGAGAAATCCTAACTGAGCAGCAGTTAGTGCTCACTGGCAGCAAAACCAGCCAGAGGTTTCTGCGCAGGACTGCTCCCTCCTCAGCCAGGGACGCGGAGCCTTACCCCGCCACTGAAGAGGGAGAATGTGCTTGGACTAACGGCACGGCCTTCTCCTCCCCTTGAATAACTAACTGCCAGCTAAAGCGTAGCAAACAGTTAATTATGTGTCAGAGATAAAACCATTACACGCAGCACGGCTCAATGCATTATTCACCAGGGTTCGGAGGATAAAACCTGCACAGGAGAAGGAAGGGGAGGAAGGAGAAATCCACAATTCCTCAAAGAGCACTTGGATTTCACGGAAGATCAGCGTTGGGATGAAGGTACGTGGTTTCCCTTTTAAGTAACCTTAAATGATCACACTTCTTGTAGCAAGTACCAATACATGATCCCTCTGAGCGTTCTGCTGTGGATGCACGGGTTGCAAGAGCAGCACAAGTCTCTACCTGTTGCATCTGAAATGCTGGGGACATCAAAGAAACGGGGGCACACTGTGCCCTGTGAAAATAATCAGGCAACGCAAGAATTTCCAACACGATTTCAAGTCAATCATCTGCTCAACTCAGAACATCCGACCTCAGCTTAGAAATGCTTGCTTGAACGAGCACCTCCGGCTATGTCCTCTCCCTGTGGCTCAGCAATACGAAAATACCCACTTCTAAAGCAGTCTCTTAGTAATTAATTTCTACTTTTGAAACAAATGGCAGAGGACATCTCCCAGCGCGAGCACACTTCAGTAAATCTCACCTGTCAAATAGGAAATCCCCCCCCAAACAGGCTGTGTCCCACAGCATCAGCATCTGACATATTTATGAGGCCAAATTAGATGTCCTACTATGTCCTAGCGCCCTGGAATGATTTCTCTTTTTAATTCCCCCCTGCTTTCTTTGTTGCCTGCAAAGCCCGGCTGGAGACTTGGCAGATTTTCAGAGCCACCAGTTGGGCGGAGGCCGGTGCCGCTTGCCCCCTGCAGCTCCCCCCAAGCCCCCGGCCCCGCCGCCGCTGCTCCCGGGGAAGCTGCACAAGCGCTTCCCGCCACCACCGGCCCGCTCCGGGGGTGTCCGGGGCAGCTTTTCCCTCTGTCGTGTCCCCCCCCCCCCCCTTTCACCTCCTCCTGCCCGACCCCGTCCCGCTGCCCGAGGAGGAGAAGCGGGGCGCGGACTTACCGAGCACGAAGCAGAGGAACCGCCGCGGCAGCAGGGCCATCGCCGCCGCCGGCCCGCGGGCAGGAGCGGGGCGGGATCCTCCCCCCGCACCCGGCGCGGCTCCGCTCCGCGCCCCGGGGCCGGGGGGGCTCCGCGCCGGAGGCTCTTACGCGCAGGGCGGAGGAGGAGGAGATGGAGGGGGGTGCCCAGCGCCCCGGTGTCCGCCTGCCCGGCCCCGGGGGGGGGGGGGGGGGCGGGTTTCTCGCCCACCGGCGGTTTGTGCCCGCGGAGGAGGCAGGGCCGGAGCAGGGCACGCCCGGCGGGGCGGGCAGCGCTCCCTCCCTCCGCTCCCGGTGCGAAGGGGCAGGTGGGCGCCCGGGGACGCGGGAAAGGGAACTGGAACACAAGGAAAGCACCGAGAAACCCCTTTTTCTCACTCGCTTTCTTTAGCCCTCCTTCCCTCTCCACCTCTCGCTAGCCTGAGGCTCCAACCCGTACCTCCCCTTTCTTTTTACAGCGTTCAATGTAGAGAATGTAATGCTATTTTAGGAGGCACATAAATGTTTTGTGTTTTGGTTTTTTACTGAGTGAAAAATCATTAGTACGGCTCCACCTACAGCTGGTAACTGAATTTGTGCCTTGCCAGGACACGAGTGTGCCTGCTCGGGCTCTCCAGGAGCACATCTGGGATTAGGATATGCCATTAGGAGCCTATCATCCCAGTGAGCAGGGAGGTCATCACCCCACACCGCGGTTCTCTCACAGTTTAAGTGAGCTCTCCCTTTCAAAAGGAGAAGAGCAAGAAACAAGAAAACTTGAAAGAACACCACAGTATGCTAACTATTTCTGCTTTCCCAACAGAAACAAAAGAGCTTGAGTGCCAGAAAGCCAGTTCTATCGGCAACTATTAATAACACCCGCCTAGTTACAGAATCAAGTCTGGGGAACACAAAGGGCAGCATCTGCTATTTAATAATGTGGCAGAGCAAAGCCTGGGGCTGCTTTCGTCTTGATACGAACTGGGAAGAAACCAAAAGTTGAGGCCTCACCTGCAGCTTCGGGACCAACTTCACGGTCCTGGCCGGGGCTGCGGCAGCGTCACCTACAGGGGCCCCGCCGAGAGGACTGGGAGCGGATGAGATCTGAAAACAGCACGACACCCCCACAACTTTCTGAAGAAGGAACTGAACCTTTATTCACATTCACAGTAAGGCTGCTATTCTCAGCAGCAAATGCAGCTGGGATCTGGAACAAAGTACAACAAAGAGACAGAGAGGGACAACAGCAAGGTACTGTCTTGTGCAATATCACAGCGTGACCCTGTCCGTGTCAATCAAGGATAATTCTCCTCACCCCCTGGCCACACACGTACACCTAAGCTGCCTTTCCTTCATTTGCCAGAAGAGGATTTAAAATCTAGACCTCTTCTGTACAGTCATGACACCTGCAAACATGAAAGACTGGATACTCCCAGACTTCCTCCTCCCCCCTCTATCAACCCAAAATAAAAATCCCAGGGAGTGCGTGCTGCCCACTATACCGGGCCACGAGATACAAAAAAAATGGATTTAGAAGCCCATCCTCTGCTTGCAGCAACAGAAGTGGAATATGAGACAAGAAAATACCATGTTCTGGGGAAAAAAAAAAAAAAAAAAAAAATCCAGGCTTCATCCTGAAGGAACCGTGGTGGCCATCTCACCGCTCTGCAGCCTGCAACACGCTTCTGAGTCAAAATGGACACGAGAGGACTCTGCTGCAGCACAGGATTGTGTAACTGTGTCCACCGGCGCTGCCAGCTCTCAGCCTGGCTTTCTAAAATGAAGCCCTCGCTGCCTCCCCCGCGCCTCCCTGGGATTCAAAGGATACATGGAATTTCTACAGACTATTCAGACTCAGATTATCTGGAAAGCGCAAGCGTGTTGGCTATTTATTAACGTCTTAGCAGCCACCACCATGCCTAAAATTAAGGGGCACGCAAGAACTGGGGGCTGTGTAGTGCAGCCTAGAAAAGCCCTGCCGGTATTAGAGAAATCTTGCTTTGCTGAAGTGTGATCTTTCTACCTTAGAGAAACCTGCTGAAACGCTCGAACCAACTACAGGGAACAACAAAACTGTGAAGAATCATTTAGTATCTGTAGAAACAGAACACCTCAAACTGACCTTCAGGTTATATTCTCTTGGATACGACTGCGTGTGACACAGTGATGTTACCTGAGTTTTCATTAAGAACTGCTGAAATAAGTCAAACAAGAAATACAGTATGATCCCAGGACAAGCTGGAGTATAGAATTTGCAAAAATCTTCCAGAGGGAGATGATTGATTCTTCATTATCAGAAAGCCGTCTACTTAAAAAGAAAGAAAGAAACAAACAAACAAAAGCAGCAGGTAAATTTTGCATGTACACACTCACACTGAAATAAACCGATCATCAGCATTTTAGTACCCCAGAAAACCAGTGGAAGCTGTTAAAATTTGGCTGTGCGCTGCAGAAGTAAGTACAGAGCAGCGTGAGGTTTCCCAGCCTCAAGAACCAAATGGAAGAAACTGCTACAATAAAATATATAATCTTTGAGCAACAAATCATATCTGGTGCTCTTTCTTTTTTTAAATTCAATTAATTCAAAGTTATCAAATCATCATTTAGGAGCACATCTATCCTGTGCATTTATTTCTGTTTCGCAAAGCACTGTTTCAGTTATGCTTTGGTAAGACCCCTCTCCATTGGTCTGTTTTAAAATAAATACTACGCAGATTATTAATTTCACAGAAGGCTTCCAAGCATGAATACTTGATACTGATAAATTTAAGGAAATAGCCGGTTTTAATGAATAACTGAATAACTTTTATAGCATTATGATTCCTGTTAACTGCTGCTTACCGTTAGGTTTAGAAAACAGAAAAAGGTTAAGTGTGCTGTTCAGGTAAATCTGACAACCGCTCACCAATGAGAGTAAAAGGCCTTTCCAGGCCAAAACCTAACTTCCCATTTCTAATGAAGTTACTCCTTCAAAATCAACAAATATAAAAGATCTATAAACATTCAGGTGTCCAACTCTGGGCTAGGTCAGCCAAAGAAAAAAAGCATGATTATCTAGTGCTTTGCTTTAAAGCTGAATTTGAGTTGTTATTCATTAAATACTATCTAATACTGCTTGACATGAAAGTATTATCTGTACAACTCTGGACATTTCATCATGTCAGTTCATTGCAAGAACATAAGGCTCTGAGGTGGTACTTCTCAGTGGACAACTGCCCTTCAGGAAAGTCTGAAGCTATACACATACCAGAATTAGTACAGATGAGCTTTAAACAGAATCAACCTTTCCTTAAACATATTACATACTTGTTTCTTACTACGGAAAAATGAGAATTCTTTTTTCCCCAGTATGTACTAATGACTTGTCTATTTCACAGCTCCCTCGTGATGAAAGTAAAAATGGTTATAGGTCACCATTGCTTTAGCAAACCAACAGGGGAAAAAAATAGTATCACAGGAAAAATTATGGCTGTAAAGACCATACACCACTTAAAAAATAAAAAAATCACTTGACGAGGAAAGCACAACAGATTTGAGGCTGTTAAAACCTTACTAATTGAAAATACTGTCATGAGTAAGATTATTTTTTTTTTCTGAGTTTATGTCCATATCCTCAGTCTTGCAGAAGTTAGTCAGATTAATATGAAGACTTTCCTTTTTTACATTTGATTTTGGTTCACAGAGATCTGTAAAAGCTCACAGGGTGGTCAAATGCCAAACTAACGGACTTATGTTACACTAATCCTTTCAGCAGGAACTCAGCCAGACATGCGTGTTGGTTGAGATTCTTTCACGCTCTTCACCAGTACAGGAGGTATAATCTTAGGCTGTATGTAAAACCCTATCCTATGTCTCTGTGTATTTAACACAATCGAGGACTTTTCTAGTCACTGAGAGTGCTTCCCAGAACAAGGACTGAGATGAAGGACCTATAAGCATCTATCCGTACATTTAATGCATCTACGGAAACTTTTGTAGCTCAGGCTTCGGCTTCATCTTACTGGGCAGAATCACTCCTATTACAGTTTTAGTAGGCAATGCACAGCAGTTCCTTTCGAGTTAAGGCTGTGTTATGGTTTACTCGTGCACTACAGTAACACATGCATAGGCATCTGAGCAGGAGAATTTAGCCTGATAATCAGCATTTAATGGGTGGGAAAGATAATTGGGTACGTAAAACTCTAGGCATAAATACCACTCCTCTTGAGGAGGTGGTATCAATTAAAACCAAACTGATGCTTTGACATCCCTGAAACAGGAGCTCTGAGACCAAACTCAGAGCATTAAGAATTTGGGGAAGAAACACTACAGAAGAATGAGCATTATACAGACTGTGTTTGTGGGCAAAAGTGAAGCTGGAGCATTGCTAAAAACACATGGGACAGCGTGGGAAACTCAGTAGGGGCACTGCTAGCAGCCCGAGAGCAAGCAGAGTACCAAGCTTAGCAGGAGAGTGAAACAAGTGCCAACTGAAGGATGTCTCCTCCTGGAGAATATACACACACATCCCTGGAATTCTGGGCTATGGTTTTAGCACGTGCAGCTTCCTGCAGCATCCAGTGCTGGGTCATCATGCAAGATGCCCTTTAACATGAAAAAACTAACAGCTATGCAATGTTACTTTGTTAGATTTCTTGTCCAGAACCAAATCTCATACACTGGACAGAAATCATCAGTATTTAAACCAAAGTTGAGCCTATGCTGGGATTTCTTTATGAAATGCTGCACAAGGACTGGCCATTAGGTGTCACCTTTGTCCAGACTATGTAAGGCAACATTCACTAAGTTGATCAATAACCAGTTTGCATAATAAAACCCCCAGTATACCAAGTTTTATAGAGTGCACAGAGCTAGCGAGCTAACCTGTTTACAGATGTTCTGTAAACCAGCTAACAACCCTCAGAAACCATCCTTTCAGTGGATTCATGCAGGAACTTCATGCAGAGCTTTATACGAAGTTACTTACTAACTTAGTCCCGCTATACAGCGACACAAATGCAAGTGTTTTTATTTCCATATATTTCCGTGGGCTAGAATACTCACTTATTTACGTTGCTTTTCCCACCCACAACTGGGGGTCGATTTCCTTAGAATGAAAGAAGTCCTTTCCACAATAGAATTGATGGACAAGCCACTTAGGAAACCTTTGTTGTTTCTCCTCACCTCCAGCAGAGCATCCACAATTTTGTCTCTACATGAATAAAAGAAATAACTGTTTACATCACATTTTGTGCAACACATTTAGCACTTGGTTACCATGGATATTGGATCCATTACAAATCAGGGCAGAAATGAAATCCAAATACTCTCACCTGCTAGCCTCTGGATGAATTTCTTGAAGTTTCTTCATTAATTTGGTAAAACTGTTCAAGTTCAACGTATTAGGAGAAATAAAGGCATCATATGAATTAGTGGAGAAAGGTGCACATGTTTTCTGCAGGAAATTTTCTCCAGTATCCTAGAATTGCATCAAAATAAGCAAAAAGTTAATGGATTAAGTATTGTACAAGTAATATAACATATCTTTACTACTAATAATTACTCCTGTTATGGAAAAAGAAAAAAATGACAGATACAGATTCAGATCAGTAAGTTATTCTAATGCAACCAGTCACATTAGCCAATCTGTATATCAGAAATAAAACTACTATATGCATTTACGTGTAACTGACAGTCCTGCTCCTTTAAATTAGATCTGATTTGTATTTCCCAGAGCACTAGCATGTTTAAAGTGAAATCCCCAAAGGTAGCATATCTATATAGTTTATGAAAGCAACACCACTAACTTTGCCTTATCCTCCAAGGACAAACCTGAGTGCATACAAAATATTGTATTTATACACAGATGTTTCTTAAGACTTATATTAAAAAACCCAAGAGTTTCCCCTCCAAGTATCCCCAAAATCTTTCCTGTATAAAAGCACAAGACATCCACATAAAAAAAAAAGTGTTACAAGTGGAAATCCAAAGGAGAAGAAAAGCAAGATGAAAAATATAGTGCAAATAGCTAGGTTCCCAGCTGGTTTAGGATTAAGAAGAAAAGACAGGGTATTACGGTTTGATGCAGGGGCAAATGAATGGTGCTCTCACTCTTCTGCAGCATGCCAGAAATTCGTTACTGACACATAACATATATTTAAATATAACATGTTACGGAACAAGAAGTTTTAAAGCTCTTAATCTATCATATAAAGGAGCCTTAGTAATAATTATTTACCTTTTGATTAACCTGAAGCAAGAAATGTACAGAATCTTCAGTAGATGATTTCAGACCAGGGCACTTTGTTTCTGAAGGTACTTGTGTAGAGCAAGAAACTTTTGAAGAAGTTACAGGAAGGAGATGTGTTTTCCCAGCAGCAGCGGTGGCATCAGGTGCTTTCACAGAATTGGAGGCTGAAGTGGGTGGTTTATCTTGATCGTTTCTTTGACTGTTATCAACAGGTTGGATTTCATGCCAAAGCTTATTTGTAAGTATTTGGGAAACTAAAGATGTGTTCTCTGATGGATTATTTAGAAGTTCAACACTTATTGGTTTTCCTTTTATTTTTTTCTGGTTCATCTCCTCCACAGCTAACTTTGCTTTATTGATGCTTTTAAAGCAGAGAAATGCATACCTAAGACACAAAATTAACAAAAACAACAACAACAACAACAACAAAAAACAAACAAACAAAAAAAACACACAAAACCAGAAAGTAAGTACATCATATTGAATTACTATCGACAAGAACATATGATGGTTCTCATCTTTTGAATATTAACTGTATCTCCAGTTAAACTCAACAGAAAATTTCTGACTCCTTAACTTCTCATAAGATGAGAAGCTGTTTGGAATTACAAGTTTTTGTCAAGTTATCTGTATCTACACTAATTATTGAAACAAAATGAAAATAAATTAACGAACAACTCCCTCCTCTCTCCCATGATCCTCTTACTTTGACAACAAAAAAATCTGAAATAAGTAAAACTTGTATTAATATACCTGTAGTTACCAGAATCCACACAGATAAGAGTGTCAGAAATCTGATACTTCTGGAAATGTGATCTTAAATCACCCTACAAAATAGAAGCATATTTTGGTTGCAAACATATAGTCAGAAAGAATTCAGAAAAGGCAAAACAGGACTACTACTAAGGAAATAAGAACATGCATACCTCTGACACTGAGGAACTTAGGCCACCAACACGAATAAAAGAATACTCATTCCCACTCTCCATTACCTTCACTGCTAGTAATAAACACAGGAAAGCAAAGTGTTACTAACTGCTCTTGTTTCGGTTCAAGCTAACATCTTCTCTGCAGATTTTGGGAAACTTAGATAGAAGACCTTTAACAAAACCCTACAAGAATGAAGGAGTATCTTCTAACAGAAAATGAGTGTCCTGAGAAGCAGAACAGTTCAGTTTGTGGAATCTCTTTTCCCTCTGTGTTTCCTGAGCTTTGAAGAGGCAGAAGAGGTACAACAGAGGGAACACTGGTCTGAACTAACGGGTACCAGTGCTAAAGCATGGGTAGCATACCGTGAGTCCCCATCGCAGAGCACAAGCTCTCTACTTTCAGTGTACTGGGACTTCTGACCATGCCCGTCACTGGGGCCCAAGTCTCCAAACACAGACCATTCCCAGCTAACTCCTAAGAAGCCGGTATGGGGAGGGAAGCAGGAAGAGGAGGAAGAGAAAACCGGAAAAGATTTCCAGCTACATGACTGGCTGGACATCTGCTAAATTGTCTTTAACCACTGTTCCTGTGCAAGGATTCATTGCAAGTCAATGAAAAAAATAAGTCTGAAAACACAGCTAACATTTTTTCCAAGTTTACTTATGCTTGTAGAAGGAACAGAATACTCAAATAATAAACAAACACCATTATTAAGTATGGCAGCTTAAAATATACAATCTCACCTCTTAAATCAACCACGTCTTGTTTTTCTTGTTGCTTTTTTGTTTCTTCAGCTATTACTGAAATATCTGCTACTGTAAAGTCCTCTTTAGCATCAAACCAATATTCATTCCCTTCTTCATTTTTCGCACAGCCTTGACAGTTGAAATAAATTTCAGTGTGTTAAAATTCAGACCGTGGTATGTCATACGACTGAACATAAAATTTCTGTGCTTAAGAGGATTCCAGCTACCTACATGTCTTGGTACTACATTAGAAAGAGGTGACACATAATAGTTTTCACTTCTGATTTAAGTGGCAAAATTTTTCTTCAAGGTGTAAAATATAATATAGAGCTGACATAATGTTAAGCATTACAACACGGAAAGAACAGTTGAGTATCCTTACATATGTTTGACACAGGGTTTGTTTTTTTTTCCAACAACTTAACTAACAAATAATGTGGTATTTGTACTAGAAGCAAACCACTTACCACGTTCCACGTGCCGATCTTTATGCTGCACTTCAAACGTCTTGGAGGAATTAGAGTCACTGGGCTGGCTGCCATCAGTTAAACATACAGTCTGTGGATTGTCCTACAAACATGTTTCAGTTATGTCACAGCACCTGCACTTGATCATATGCCATCTTTCTGAGCCTCATAATATTAAATGATTAAACAGGTAAATTTTAAAAAGTTAACCTACTGATCTTCTTCAAGAATCCCCAAGTTATTTGAGTTTGAAAGGACGATAAAACTTTTGGTGACATCAGTTGCATTTGCCATTACTGGCAGAGCAGCCCAGTTTGAACCCTGAAGACAGTGACAGCATTTGCATATACCTAAGAGAAGACTATGCTTCATAACTTAACGTCTAGGAACCTCGATAATGAAGAAGTCCTTACCATGCTGACAGAAATTTTCTTTTCTTGCAGTTTTGCTGCTACAAAGTTAGATTTTCTTGTGCCTGACACAGACCTAAAACAGACCCAAGAATTTCATACAAAATATAGCACAACCATGTAAAATTCTACAATGATACCAAGTAGTCTGAAATATTAATTTCGATATTTCCAAAAGTTCACAGTAAAATAAATAAAATGTGCTTAAGAAATATTGGCTTAGAATGAGAAACAATGTTTTTTGATACCTTTATTCTATAAAAGCACTGGTTGCAACCTGAAACATAAAGCTATGTTCTAGGTTTATGTTAGGCTGTATTTCCTTTATAGGAAAAACTCAGATGGCTCTGTGTGATGTTTTGATATACATCTTTACGACCTGAAATCCCCGTGCAATTTTTTATTAATTTTACTAATACGTAACAAGAAATTTGAAACAGATCTCTAGTTGTTTACCGGATGCAGTAAAAACTTACTGCCAAATTTGTTTTAATCTACACTTACATAAAGTAACTGCACATGGTTCTCAAACATGCAGTACCATATGTCTGCCTGAAATATAAAGTTATTTTTCTATCATTCTTCATGACTGAATGATAATCTTAGCAGAACATCTGATTATATGCCAACTATTGTCTTTGCTGGCAACAAAATCTTTTTGTTTTGGTGTTCCTTTGTGTGCTTTTTTGTGTTGTTTGTTTTTTTTTTTTCCCCAAGACAGGGAGGATTAAGATTGGAGACCAAGATTTTCGTAGTTAAAGTACGGAACCAGGAAAATTACCTATACATTGAAAACTTTTGCTATAAACATAGTAAAAATACAACTCCATAGTTTGCATAGTAGAACACCACAGAGTAAAAAATTTCCTTAGAATAAAATCAGTGTACCCAAAGTTCTACGCCAGTCTTTCAGCTAAACGGTTTCAGCAACAATACACATCCTGAAATAAAGACATTCTAAGTTTAACAACTTCTAAATTCACTTCTCATTTATTTTAAACTTTAATAAATACCACAAATGAGGAGTACTTACTTATAGTAAAGATCATCTCTGAACAACTGTCAAAAGAGAAAAGATTTGTCTTAATTTTCTGAAGAAAACAATCTGTATTAAAAACAAAAAACAATTAAGAAATTACCTTGCAGGGCACATAACACGAAGAGATTGGGAACAACTTCACCTCAACTGATAGCGGTGGAAGTGCACTTAAGGGTATGCCCGTTTTTATTTTCATTTTCATACCATTGTAATTCTTTTTTAGCTCTTCCAAAACCAACATGAGAGACGAACCCAATTCAGTATTTCCATTACATCTGTTAAAATACGTGTAAGAAAATAAGAACAACTTAAACAGTCATTTCACTTCCTTTACTGCTTCCAGAGTTGCCCAAACATTTCACAGTGTTTAAAGATTCCTCCCCAGGGCGCAGGACCACGCGCTCTCTCCTGACGCACAGCAGCTCTCTGGGGCCATGCTCTGTTTCGCAGCATTACAACCCCCTCTCCCAAACGTTCCCCTCAGCTGCGGGGCACACCCTATGGAAAGGAGGTTTTACAGCTATCCCTGGCACCCTAAAGCATTCAGAGGCAGGACTTCTTGGTTCAATTCCAGGTTCGTTACAGGGAGTGTGCTTTATCAGCTAGAGGCTCTACAAATCACTGCCCCCTTCCTGCTCCACCTCTTAACACTTCTGCACCTCCTGTCTCTTCTTTCTCACCTCCCAGCTCCCCCTCTATGCAATTCGCCTGCTCCTGAAGGGATTCTCTGTACTATTCCTCCTGTACAGAAAACCATTCCTGGAAACAAACTATATTTTGCTGGGTTTGTGAATGCTACAGAAAATTTTAGGATGAAAATAAGACTTGGTAGTTACGAGAACCTAAACTCTTTTGGATAAAAATGCTAACTATAAACACTATCACAAGCTATGGATAGAATACATCAGCAATATTTAGCAATTAATGCCTTTTAACCAAGTTATCCGTTTCATTTAAAAAAGGACATTAAAGTACATGCCTGCTAAAACATATGTTTTCCTCCAAAGCCAGTCTGTAAATCTTCAAGCAGTGCTGATAGCACATGTGATAATGAGTGTCTAGAATCTGCAATTCTGCTTCAATCGCTCTCTGCAGTATTTTTTGACAGTAGCTTGGTGCAGAATTCTTCACATCTTGTTTGTCAAGGTGTACCAGCCTTTAAAATAATAGTAATAAAATCTTGAAGCCCTTGAATCCATATTTTAAGTTCATTATATTTTACTTTGAAACAAGTAGCTTTCTAAAAGCTATTTCTGATACAATTCAAGGAAAAAAAAAAAAAAAAAAGAAAAATTAAATCAGTTCCTCCTATTTACTACACAGAAAAAATGCTGTCTCACAGTAGCTTTCACATTATAATCAGCGATAACTGAGAGGCGGGAACTGCATGAGCACCATAATAATTTCTACTCAAAAAGTGTGGTCCTAAGAACAAAAACTTAGCGACTGTTAACTGACAGACACACTTATTTTGTTTCCACAGTCAGAGAATAATTTAGGTTGGAAAGGATCTCTAGAGGTCTGCAGTACAAACCTCTGTTCAGTGCAGGGCTAACTTCAAAATTAGCTCAGGGTCTTAGCCAGTCTGGCTTTGTTGTTCCGTTTGGGGCTTTTTTGTTTGTTTTACATCTCCGAGAAAGGAGACAGCACCAATTCTACTCTCGCTGTAAGAAACTTTTTCTTACACACGCTTAGAATTCCCCCCCACTGTAACTGCTGGCTCTTGCCCTTTCAAAATGCACCTCTGCAAAGAATATGACTCCGCCTTCCCCGCAACCCACCACCAGATTACCAAGAACCATCTCCCCAGCCTTCCCTTCTCCCAGCCGGCTAAACCGCGTTCCCCCAGCTCTCCCCACATGCCAGGTGCTCCACCAGCTCCTCTCACCATCTCTGCTCCCCTCCAGTGGGCTTTCCCCACTCTGCCAATCTCTTTCACTATCCCACAGCTGGAGCAGATGCAACCTCACCATCACCAAGCTGAGAAGAATCAATACTTCCTTCCATCCACTCCTGATAACACAGCCCCCGCATGTGGTTTCCCTTCTTTGCCATACGGGAGCACTGCTGACTTATACTTGGCTTGTTCTTGGCCAGTCTGCAACTGCAGACACCAAGGCTGCTTCCGTCTTTGTTCAACTTCAGGTCTTCAGCTCATTCTTCTCACTTGTCCAGGGCCCTTCCGACCCCTCCCATGCAGGAAATGCTACTCAGCAGTCTTTTAACACCACCCGTTTTCCCAAGTCACAGACAATCTTGCAACCGTGAAAAAAATCCTATCCAACATCTAGAATTTCAAACCAATTCACGACCCACCTGTCAGTGTTTGTCTTTAAATCACTGCTACACAGCTCATTTTTTGATTCCCACTGTTCCTAAACAAAAAACATTTTTACAAGTTACAGATTAATGTTTGCATAGGCAAGTTCTGAGCATTAAAAAGTTCCAGATATCAAAATCGTTTGGTTATGGTTGGTTTTTTTTTTTTTAAATTACCTGAATTTGTGAACTTCTTTCAGCTGCTGCAGTATTGCCATGTGAGTGGTCATCCAGTGTGCTGGTAAGCGACGACCGAACCTCCTCTGTCCTACTGGCTCCACATGACCAGTCTGTATTGCAAGCAACATCTGCCCAAGTTTCACGATGCCATTCCACAGGTCGAGATTTGTTCATCATTGTTATCTCTGTATTAATAGCTCTGGATGAGAGACAAACCTGAGCACCGGTACTCCTGCTCGTTGTAAAGCAAGCTCTAAAATCAGAACTTGCATCAACAGCCTGGTTAACCGTGGAGACACTGGTAAGATTTTTCAAGTTTTCACAGCACTCCAAGTTCATAGAGCTGGTATTTCCATGGGAGGATTTATCTGCAACTTCCACCTTCAAAAAGGGATTCTTGCTAGTGAGAATTTCAGAGACTGAAAATTGGGCTTCAGCATCCTCTGCAGTGCAGTTGATGCAGCTGGCACCATGTGCGCACACACCGGATTCTTCACAACTGTAGAAATTTGAGTCCCCCGCACATCTGCAAAATTGTATGGCTACTGCAGGGGCCCTTTCCCCTAGTGACAGCAAAGGATCACCTTGCTTCGCTGAGATGCTGTGAGCATGTCTGTCATTTTTTTCAGACACTTCTTCACTTGTAGTGATTTGGAGTGGCAGCGTGCCATCAATCAGTGGTATGCCTTTCACCTCTCCATTTTCTAAACTGTCACATACAAGCAGACTTGGACAGACCTTTTCTTTACTCCCACAAGAATGACTTTCAAGTATACTTCCACAAACAACACTGTCATACTCTGTTTGCTCATCCTGATGATCACAAGTCATGCCACTGCAATCTGGCAGAGACAGAGAGTCCTGAAGCAGGTGGGGATGCTCTGGCACAGCAGCTTCTGGGCAGGCCTGGTCACCTACGCCATACTCGGGAGCAGGAGAACAATCTTCTGACACCTCAACAAGATTTTGTTCCTGTGTGACTCCACTCCCTGGCACTCCATGAACTGGATCTATCAGCTTTAAGGTTTCGATTCCTATAGTTTCCCTTTGCTCAGAAAACTCACCTGAGCTATTCGTGTCATCAAAGTCTTGCTCTTGAGCACTGAGATACTCCAGCTGTGAATCTTCACCTAAATCATTTTTTCTGCAATCATCACACTTGCCACAACTGAAGTGCATATTGTCACATGCCCTTCCCAACATATCGGCTTCTTTCTTGCTTTCACCTACCCGTGCACAGCAAATTCTCATTCTCTTTTTATTATACGTTTCAATATCTGCATCTAAAGATGAGCTTAAATAAGGTAAGCTTTCCTCTGACAACTTTAATTCTGAAACATTGACAGAACATGTCTGGCCAAAACCAGAGGGGTTAGCTCCTGCTGCAGTGTCTCCGATGAGTGTGCACTCAACTTCCTCAGAATAAGAAAAAAGATGGGAGGTCTGATTGAAGCATCTCCTTTTGCTTTTAACATCGCCGTTCTTTTCTAATTCCATGGTACAAACACTTAAGCCCTCCTCCTCAGAAGTCATCCACACAACTCACTTCCACTGCAACCTCTCAAAGTCATCAGCTTGTCTCTTCCTATCAGTTTCTCACCTTAATAAAAATTAAGATAAGTTTGAAATACTCCATGGTATACAAGAGGCCATTACTGTTTAAAAAAATACATTAAATTAACAGTTTTATTTTTACCTACTGCATGCTAGTATAAAGGCTAGGAATTACACAGTACATTCTCAAAGAAATCCTAAGAGGTCACGGCAGGCTGTTAAAAGAATTTGCCATTCTTGTGTGATTTCAATTGAGTAAAAGCATCTTCAGAGACCAATCAATCCTATTCTCTTACACTCCTGGGCAAAGCTTCCATCCTCTTATAGCTGAAGTCTTTCTTGGCTGAATCATCAGGATCCCTGTTGCTACACAGTAAGCTATTTACATCATATGCTAACTTCATGACACTACTCAGATGCACATACCGACTCTGAAAGTCAAGATGCTGATGGTCATGGGTTCAGTGACCACAGACTGACCTCACATTATTCCGGACTGTGCACTGGCCTGTAAGCACTCCCTGCCACAGAAAGCTCACAGCTTCTTGATCTAAGACCAGTATATTTACTATAGGGAACATCCTTCAGTCCAGGAGTTAAACAATTTTAAAAACTACTTAAACAAGTGAAGAGGTGAACTTAGAGCTCTGTGTCTTCGGAGAACCAAAGCCCCTTCTAGTGTTGGACAAGGGGGAAATGGAAGCACATTCCTTTTAATTCTGGGGAAACATGAAGGAATGGTTATCAAGCACAGAAACATAAGAAAGCCCGAGAATCTTTACAACCAAAAAGTGTAAGTCATAGAGGAAAACGGGAAGACAGTTTCTTGGATCGATGCATTTCTTTTAGCAACAGAAGAAGGCTGGACAACACACCAAACCAAAGCAATACACCTGCTCTGCATTTGTAACAAAACTAGTTTCATAGCAAACATGAACGAAAAGCAGAGAAAAAGCACATAGGGATGGAAGATGCTCTTTGTGAAGCTTGTTTCTTATAAATAGTTGTCAATTCTTCTCTGCCTTCCCCCGAAGCTTATAACAGAGGGAAACATACAAATGTTAGACGTATTTCTCAGTTAGGTATTCTTTATAAACTACTGAAATGAAACATAATCATTTTATATTACAGTCACCGGTCTGTAACCTGACTACAATCTTACATAAAACACAGCAAAATACAGTCCTGTCTGTACCTCTTCCCACTGCAAGTGCATGCAGACTGACCGACAGGCCCATGAACTCTGTTTCACACTCTCCTGAAGACACATGTCACTGGTTCCTCCTCCAGAGTAGGTTTCCAGTGTGGTGAAGCACAGCCCGTAAGGAACTGAATGAAGTACTGAAGCAAGACACGAGCTGCTGGTGGAGCATGTGGAGAGAGTGCAAACTCAGGCCCATTTCTTGGCCACTGCTCTGGGATTAACACCCACGTTATGGGAGCTCTGCCCATTCCAGATATAAACAGCGTGACCAAGGCCTCGTATCTGCACAGGAAGGTTTGCAGGATGGACCCCTATGAGGTAACTTCATGACAGCCCTTCCCCACAGGGAAAAATGGCTTGTATCTCAAATCTGCAATCCGCTGGTTCTCATCTGCTAAGGATCATCATTAAAATGGCATAATTTAAATTCACTTAATAAAACCTTACTACAACTTCATTATGCACTTCTGTGGCTGTTTTTGTCTCAAAACCATTAGCTTTCTTATTACCCTAACTTTACCTTCATCTCCTAACTTAAGTTTTGAGCAACTGTATCTGTGAAATTAAGTCTTGCTGCAACGCCACCAAAGCACATCTCGGCCATCTATATGTAAATCACAATGTATTATCACAGAAAAGTGACTCTTCCCCCTCACTTTTTCCTGAAGAAACAAGAATCAAATAGCTCTACCTACGCCCTAGATAAATCACAATAACCTCGCCGTCAGCACTAATGGCGCAGCTAGGCGCTTAGCAACAGCCAGGTCAGTTATAAATCACCATTTTGTACTGAAGCGCAGCTTCGACGCCGCGGCGCAGGGCGGGGAGGAAGGGGGGAGCCCTCAGAGCAGCCCGGCGTCCCCGCTCGCCCAAGGGGAAGCCCCAGGCAGGGAACCGCGGTTCACAGCGCTTACCCTGGCTCCGGGGAAAAGCCGGGCACCCTTCCTGCTGCCCGAACGAAGCCCCCCCACCCCCGTACCTCCCCCGTTCCCAACTTAGCGCTCCCGGTTACCCCACACCCCGGGCCCAGCCCACAACGGCCCCGCGGAGCACGCGCTCCAACGGCTACCGCCCCCCCGCCCGCGCCTCCAGCCCATTGGCTGCGGCGGGAAGCGTCCCGCAACTTGATTGGCCGGCGCGCCGCCTGCCCCCGCCCTCCCGCATGGAGGCCGCCCGCGGCCATGTCGCCTCAGGGGAGGGCGGGCGCTTCTCCTCCTCCTCCTCCTCTTCCTCCCTCAGGGCGGCCCGGGGTTCTCCCAGTGCCCCAGCCCCAGGGCTGGTGCTGTTATTAAAACCCCACCGGCAGCTAGAAGGCTTTCAGTCTGACGGAGTGTGTTACAGCCTGGGAAATGCCACCCAGTAAAAACCTGTGGCGCAGGTTAACGGTCATAAATGTAGGCTGTTTTTACAAGGTTAGGGCCCTGCTCCTTCCATTAAACACAGACATGGAAAGTTCTTAACGAAGCGTGCAAAACACCACTTAGCTGTCTAAAGCAAACTAACTCCCAAACACGGGCAATCAGTTGTTTAGAGCAATTAAAGCAAAGCACTAACATGGGAGTGATTTATGTGGCAACACCCATGATCAGTGCAAGATTAAATTTAATACTAAAATTGACACGTTTTTGAGGAACCAACTTGCCTCCTGTTGTGAAAGATTCTTCCAGGGAAATGTACTTTGTGGGTTACTTGTATGCTCACTATTAGTACCCTTGAGAATCAATCATTAGCAATACCCTTCCAATTTCTCCTGCTGGGACACTGTCCCTGTCCTCCCAACTCCCCAAGTGCACCCTGCCATTAAAAATGTGCCCTCAGTCACACAAGCACCCGCCTTTGTACATTTTACAACCAGTCTTGCTCACATTTTGTGTCTGCAGCAATATATTAAAAAGGAAAAGGAGCTATTACACCAGTATCATCCAAAAAGTCTGTATTTTCCAAGAGAACATCATCATGACAGACCATAAAAACTACCCAAACAAGTGACATTTTTATTGGCGAGTTCCGCTAATGAATTTCCTTTTCCACACTCGTATCTCCTAACAGTCCGATTGAAAAAACAAAAACAAAACAAAACCACATTTTGGGTAACATTCCATTTGCAAACAATAAAATTATTTAACATTTAAAAATAAAACAAAAGGATAACAATTTTAAATACAAATTCTAGGAAAACCCGTCCTGGTTCCCCCAGGAGCCATTCCTCGCCAGGCTGCCACCACCTCGGCTCCGCTCCGAGTCAGCGGGCTGGGTACCGAGGCTCTCTTGTTTGGAGCTCAATTAAAAGGACCGGGGCATGTGCTATTATTACCATTCAAAGCCCTGTTGTTGTACATTCTTCACAGAAAAACATAAGTTTGCAGGAAACCAACCAGTACTTTTTCTTCCCTTATTCTAAAGCTAAGTCATACTGAAAGTTAGGGGGAAAAAAATGCGGCTTCAACATTCAGCTATTTTACCACACACAAAGATTTCTACTAAGAGCATATCCAGGTTGAAATACACATCTGATTTCTGTCATGAGGTTAATGCTTATGGGGTGCGAGATGCAATCTACTTCGAAATGATAAACACGTCACTTCTTGATGAGCAAAGGATTATTTTTAGCCTTCTGGACCAATGCTTAGTTGCTAGGTTGTTTCTCCTGGATCTTGCCAGGAGAGACAGTTTTCACCACTACCACAAATAAAAAGATGACTGGTGGCAATCACACACCTTATCATCAGTTAGCAAGATGTTGTAATTAGCACGTTTGTTTGCATTATGAAAAACCCTTAGTTCAATTTTAGGCCCCAGAAGCTTTGTACACCAGAAATTACACAAGTCAACCACAGAAAATTGTAAATTGGTATCCACAGCAATTCTGAGGTATTCCACAAGAAACCTGGCTCTGCACCTGAATGTTCCTCTCAAAAACAAAAACAAACCCCAAAGCCCTAGCGGGAATGGAAATGTCATTTAAAAGTTTCCTTTCATCCTCACATTCCACCACATTTGACCAAAAAGGCCATGCTTATTTCCCCAGGGGCACAAAAAAAGCCTTCTTCATCCTTTTCCTGGAATATTAATTTCAGTACTTCATTCCTAAATTTCCGCGTGCACTCAGATGGAGAGAAACATGTTATTTTCTAGCCAAACCAGAGAAACACATTCAGACACTGTTTTTGGTTTATTTAATTTGTGAAGGTGCTCTAAGAAGATACTGGCGATCCCCCCTACGTTGAAAATAGCAGCGGTTTATACTCTAACCTCCAGTCTGCAAGGAAGAGGCTAGGGAAAGACCTGGATCAGAGAGTCTGAAGACCAAGTTAGGAAGAAATGGTCTCCTGGGTCTGGATTTGGCTTGATGGAACCGTATCTGTTGAGGCAGTCGGCATCGACAGAAGGTTGCTCCTGTTGAACAGGAGATGCTGCTTCATAGCGTGAGCAGATTCCTAAGGGACTGGTTGCCTGCCTCACTTGCAAGCTTTTTTTCCTGTTAGGGCTGAAGGGGGAAGGACAGCTTTGTTCTTCAGGTAACTGCTGTTCTCCTTTGAGTAGTACATTCAGAATAATTTCCAATAAACCAGAGCTGTAGTGCTAAGTTGTGTATAATAAATTGCCTGCAACATCTTAATTGGTTACGCTGTTTTTCATGGCAAGTGGAAAACCTTTATAATGACCTTAGAAGGAAGTAATACACTACTTCTGCATTTGTAGAAAAACCATAGGCAGTAATATTTTCTAAAGTGCTTCTTTACTTATCAGTTACTTTTTCAAAAATTAGACTTGTATTTTGTAGCGGCGTAGTCTCCTAGTAGTTCATGGACCAGTAGATAGTTTCTGATGTAAAAAACCCATTACATATTTTGTTTAAGCAAGTGACACTTGCTTTGACAAATGCACCAAAGTGATTGATCTAAGTGCAAAACCCACCATTTCTTAGAACACGGCCTTATGCTGGTTTATTAATGCAAGTTTACATCCTTTAAAAGTAGTTTACTTCAACTCCAAGAGCAGGGATTAAATAATACAAATAAAAGTTGAAAATTCAATGAAGCTATTGCCTATTTACCCTGAAATAAAATAGTCTTATGATTCCACTGGTGCAAAAATCCCTCCAAATACCTTTGTTTTATTGGCAAAGTCATTTAAGGTCACTTTTGCTTCCAAGACCATCTTCTTCCATGGTTTCCACTGAAGGAGTTTTGCTTTGTAATGGCTTGTGGTTCCACAGTGATTTGTAAATGAAAAACCTACTATGAATAATTCTACTGTAGTCACTAAATTACAGATACTGTCATGAGAAAGTCTAAAACTTACAGTGCTTTTTTTAAAATTTCAGCAAGACACGAAATTCCAGTCCAGTTATAGTGTTTTCTTTGAATGCCATTTTAAATGGCAATAAATGGCTGCTGTGCCTTCTGGATGGAGAACTTAACGCGATGCCCGATGTGCTTCTTACGGGGTAGACAGATATTGTACTTCAGAGGTACCCAAAGCAGGGTGTAGAAGGGCTCCTGCTGGCACAGCCATTTGGATCAGCTACTCCTATGTATACAGTGCAGCAGGTTTGAATCTGCGTAGAGAGAACCACAGCTGGGTGGCACGTAGCAAGTGTTGGGGTTGTCTGTTCTCAGAAGGCATGACACAAAGCATCCCAGACAGCAAGAGACAGAAGCATCCGCAACGTTGTTCTGGTTCTGTCTAGTAGTAGTAGCATCGAAAGGTGGTGGTTATTGCTGAGACAGTAAAGCACTCCGGTTGGCTTTCATCTTCTCCAAGCGTTTTACTAGATGACCATTGCTGACTTCAAGCTCTTCAGTTTTATCCAATGCTGAACGAAGCTGAAGGAAGGAAGCAGAAAAAACCCCCGTAACTTTCACAGTGTTTTCTCTTTCTGAAGATAAAGCAAGGCTTGTGGTTACCAACACTGACCATATTGCTGGAATTTCCTTACAAGATAAAAGCTGTTGAAAATTCCCATTAACAGAGTTGAAAGTAAATGTTGTGGATCTGCTTGGAAGGCCACACACAGATATTTTCTAAGCACGGTGCCAAGAATCCAAGGTATTTACAGAATGTTGAATAAACGGCTCAGAGTTTGCCTCAACTTCAGAGGCACGGATGCTCAGAGATATCTGCTGGGTGACATACTCCTGTCTGGCTGCCTGGCTTTTATGTTTCTGGTTCCTGGAACTACAGCCACAGCCGTGGCTTTGGTGCCTTAGTTTTCTACAAAACCCACCACAGGATGGGGGTAGGGAGAGAAAAGTGGACTGCCCAGAGCAGTATTTATAGAAAGCAGAGCAGGAGTAATGAGAAAAAGCAAAGGTACATACTGAAAAAACAAACCCAGAACCTCAGGGGGCAGGTATGGAAGAAGCTGACAAACATATTTAAGCTGGTTGTAGCAGCTACTTGGAGAGAACATGAAGCTTGGTAAGACAAATAAGGTCAAAATTACAGACAGCTTGAAGACGCAATGTTTTAAGAGAAAAACATGGACCGAGTCTGTGGACGGACACACTACAGCAAACAGGCTTGCACGAGCAAGAAGAACAGGCTCAATAAGAACAATCCACATCCATTTAGCACTCAAGTTTAGACTCTGAAGCTTGGAAGTGTAGACTGACGAAGCACCTCAATTAACTTTACAGTAGGATTTCCAGTTTTCTTCTGCTGTAATTTCCGAATCACTGTTCTAAAAAGACCAGTGATTTGTATTAACAAACCCAAAATTTATAACACCCAAAGAAATGAGCCTGCAGGTACAACGAAGGACAAGGACAGCAAAGTAGAAATAGGAGTTCCTCAGCTTGATGAATGTCAAACCACAGCAACATTCTCAGCTGCAAAATGGCACACAAACCTGAGCATCTGAAGGCTGCTTCTGGATTTAAGTTGTACAAAGCAGAACTTGAGTTTGCTCCAGAGAACCAGCTCTGGTACAAAGCAATTAATTCAGGAAGGAATGGTGAAA